TTAGCACTTCCCAGCCCTAACCAAAGCTGTTGTATCTATTTGATTTGCTAAGAATGCCTGTCATAGATTTATTATATTCTTCTTTTCCTTTTTTCTTTTTTTCTTTTTTTTGCTGGAACACTTCTGCTGCGAAACTTAATCCAAGTATTGCTATGCACGTTGGAATTCAAACTCGGGCAATGCTGTGCGCAAGTCCAGCAGCACAGTGCCTTAGAGAGATATACCATAGGCACATCCCACAGAAACATGGTGCAGTGATGCGTTTGCCTTGCTGTGTGAGCCCTCTGAAGGAAGAGAAGGCTAGTAATCTCCCACAAGCCCACTCCTCACTGTCCTGCCCTTTACAGATGCTCCAATGCACAGACCAAAACCTGGAGCAAAGTTTCCTAAGCAGGGGATGGTTTCCTGGATTCATGAAGCAGCCCATGTGGGAGCAAATCCTGTATATACAGTGTCTATCCCTTTGATTTGCCCTCTTTTCCCAACTGAAGCAATGCCACAGTCTTCCAGTGGCAAAGCAATACTGAAGCATCTGAAGATGTGGAGTATTTGCACAGCAAAGCCTCAATGAGGCTTCTGCATAATGCAGTTACAGCTGCACAAATGCTAAACGTTCATGTCATTGTGGTACTGGAACTGAAAAGCATGCCATAACAGATGGGCATGGTGTTGACTGAGAGTTCTTTGCTTTTCAGTTAGTCATAGATTCTCTCTTTTCACAAAAGACTGAAAAAGTGTTTTCATAATTTAATGCAGCAATATATCGTGGCTATAACATTTCATTTATCCCTAGACTAACAGGGCACACACTGCATGTATTCCAGCCACAGTGCAAGTTTTCCTTAAGTGCTTGTATATGAGCTCCCCTCCAACTTCCCTCTACAGGAGATTTAGTTTTTATATTAACTCCTTGCAGGATCTTTTATGAGCAGTGACTGTCAAACTGTGCTTGTCTGTGCATTTGTGCGTGCTGATATTGTTCTCATTTAGAAGAACTTCAGCTCCCACCTCAATCTTGTTTTTCCCCATGCATTTTTTCCCTAATATATCAACAGTTGTTTTAGAATTGTTTTGAAAAAAACAGCCTACAGCGTTTTAGGCAAACCAAGCCAAGTTGGAGCAATAAGTATTAAAAGATATGCATGGGGCACAAACAAAAGAATTCCCTGAATGTATTTAAGTGATTTTCTTCCTGCTTTTTTAATATAATATTTGTAGGCCAACTGTGGCAATAACTGATAATTTTAATGCAAGATGACATCATTCCAGTTCAGCGATTCTTCAGAGAGAAATTACCCTGACAACTTCTTTTCATTTTGTTTTAATTTTCTGAAAAAAAGTTAAGATTTTCGATGTAAGAAAAAAAATAATTTGGTACAAGTTTCAAAACTCATTTAAATACTTCATCTCTCTTCCACTTCCAAACACACTTTCCTGGCAGTTTCTTGCGTTTGCATCTCCAGCTCCCACAGCTTACCATCGTTCCAGCTGAGAGAGACTAAACTAAAGTTTTCTTCAGAACCCGTGGAGTGCCTGACAGAAGATCCCTGTCATGACATGAAGTTCCTTGCATGCTTTTTCTGATTATTTGGCAGCCTGACTTAGCAGCACGGGTTCTGTCGGAAGACAGAAAGGCCAATTGTTAGGTCAGGCCAATATTTTGAAACAAGAATCTTTATTTGGAAATGCAACAAGGTCATTAACCTTGTTGTTTTCTCTCTTTTTTTTTTTTTTTTTTTTTTTCTTTCTCTGCCTGGCAGGGAAATCATAAGTTGTTTCCTGAGCATTGAAATGACTGCAACATCAAGTTTTGGAGCTTGATGTATTTTTTTTTTTATCTTACATCAGTGGAGATAGCAAATCAGTCCCCATCTTGGAAGAAATTTGATCTCCCAAATGGAGATAAACGTTGAAAGTACTCAGAAACTTTTCAGTTCTGCAGCTGGGTGGTTAAAACTTGGTTTGCAGAAGGACCCTGATTTGGAGGTTGACTTCTGGTCCGTCCTGTCTTGCAACTCTTGAGGATTTCTGGCAGAACATGCTATGCAGTTCCTCCAGGAGCAACCCACATCTGTCCTTCACCCTGTTGAGCCCTCTCCATCCACAACTCAGAAACACTTGGAAAAAACAGAATGAAAGTCTTATTTTTGAGGCTTTTTTCTCCCTCTTGCCATCACTAACTTAACATTTCCCCCTGTGTCCATCCCAGACTGTGAGTTCTTCCCACTGCCAGTGGCAGACCCATCTCTCACACACACTCATGCGTCTGACTCCCCAGGAAGAGGATCTCAGGCAGGCGTTGGCAGGGGTCACCCCACCCTGCTCACACCCAATCTACTCGTCTCACCAGAGATATGACTGCCTTTGGCTTCCCTCCCTGCTGCATTACACTGCGCAGCTCCCTCTGATGACACTGCTGAGGTTATGTCATGGGAAGTGTGATATTACTCAGCTTCGTTAAATTTAGTGTAATTCACATCTGCAAAGCCTCTGCAAATTGGTGCTTAGTCTTAAATTGAAGGTTTCCACAATGTGGAAACTTCAGAGTATCAAGCATTGAGTCCTGGTGTGTTACAAATTAGAGTGTAAAAGTCTGGAATTCCTGAAAAGCATGCCAGAAAACTGCAGTTTCTGGGAAGTTCTAAGGCAAATATGTAATTAATTTAGTTGGCAACACTAATAGCTGGGATGGCACCCTTACAAAGAATTCCTTTGCTTTATTTGCGTTTCCAGCCCAAATTCTGGAGGTGGCTGAAAGGGCGAGTACTTCAGCAGAGCTGCCTTTGTGAGCCAGTCCCAGCCACACACTTCTCCTCGCTGGGCTGTAATGGGTGCAGACCTGTATTGATCACCATGACTTGCAGGAGAGAAAAATCTTTGCACTTCAGATTGCATATAAATTATAAATAGCATCTCCAAAGGCTGTGAGTTACAGAAATACCATTCTTCAGAGACGGCCACATGTAAAGCTGCTGGTATAGAGGTTATTAATTTTATGATTGCAACGCAGCTGTACTTGACCCACAACGATGATCGTTGTCCATAAAATCTCACAGTCTGGGATCAGTCCCTGGCCTGTTTCAAGAATGTTCATTCACAGTGACCAGCAAGGATCACATTAATGTAAGAATGTTAACACTCACTGTATCACTGTAAATTAATTGGTGAAATGGCACTGTCTCCTTCCCTTTGCTTTTTTTTTTTTTTTTTTTTTTTTTGGCTGTTGTTTTCTTATAGAGTTTTTTTTTTTTTAATTCAGATTTTATCCAAATGAATATCCAAAGTCTGTCAGTGACTCCAGAACTTGAATTCTAAACTGCATTTGTTATGTGATGAAACACAGGCATCTCGCCTTTCCACTAAGTCACCCTACCATTCAGAGCAGGGTTGCTGTATTTTCATGAATGTGTCCTCTTTTTCCTGCCCCACCATTACACTTGAATGGTTAGTGTGGCCTATGACTGGGTTTTCTAAATACCAGCCAAAAGCAGATCTCAGATTTTGCTTTACAGTAAGATTGAGAAGATCTGAGTCAGACCTCTTTGAAGAAGAGTCAGAGGAAGGGAGGAACTGTGGTGAATGTGAGGAACTGAGAGATAGGCTAGGTGAGTGGATGAGAAGCAACAAGAATTAAGTGGTATGTGGTGGGCAAGGTCTTGGAAAGAGCTAGAAGGTAGATAAATTTAGGGAGAGAAACTCAAAAATTCCTCTTAGGCTAATAGATGTCTCGGATAGAGGAAAATGAACAAGGAGTGAGAAGAGATTTGGGAAGAAGTAAAGAGGACATTCCTCCCTCTTGACGCTTACTGTACCTATGAGGATTATGGGGTGGCTTATCTGCCTGAGACCTGTGAAGGTATTTGCCCTGTCAAACTTGAGGTGTTTCTGAGCATATACAGAAGCAATGCTGCAATAAGGCACAAGCTTTAAGATCAGGCACCCGAGGTGTCAGTGGAGTTTAAACATGTTAGGGAGTGGTGAGCAGCTGACTTGGGATCCTCAGGATCACTTGGGTTTAGACTGTTATATTTCACTTCTCAACACAAGGTGCTAAGTCCTTTCTGGCAGCTCATGGCACCTGGGACAGGTGTCTAGTGGGAGAGTGAGTGGATGCCCCACTCCAGTCTTTCCTTTTGTTTACCCTAATCCTATGCTCTGGCAGCCGCAGCCAGCAGAAGGATGGATGAGTTTTGCTCAGCCTTTCCTCAGAGGTACAACACAATCACAGATGCGGCATCTGCGTTGGTGGGGCTTTCCTCTCCTTCACCATTACACACTTAACCCCTGGAGGATGACCAGGGCAATATGCTCTTCCTGTGGCTGGGCTGGGGCAGCCACATTCTGAAGGTCTAGGCAGGAGCTGGGAGGTGGGAAAGGCACCATGAAGGGACTGGGCTGAGTTGGGTTAGAATGGGTTACGTTAGGTTTCCTTTCAAAGGCAGGGCTTTTTTATAGTGATAGAGGGGACTGCGAGAGCTTTAGTGGCAAGAAATAGAAGAGTGAGCTGCTTCTGCACTTGACTGGAGAAAGCAAAAGAGTAAAATACCATTATTCCTGTACCTCTAAAAATAGTCTGGGTTTGTGTCGACTGCAATCCTTTGCCTACAAAAGTACGACAGGAGATTATAATCCAAGGAGAAACTTCAGGAAAAAAAAAAAAACACTTTGAAATGTTCCTTAATATGAACATGTTCTTCCAGAAGTTGAGGGAGGGGTGGTGCAGGAGTTAATTTATTCACTACAGGCTTATGACGTTTGAACTCAGATTCTTGGTGAAATCATCAGAGCACTGGGTCTTTGCTGCAGGCCCTTTTGTTGCATCAATGAGAGTCTTGGAAAGACTTCCTTCACTTCTATGCATGGCATCCACGCCAGTTCTCGCATGGAAGTCAAGAAAATTATGTTCAGCTGTTTTCCTTTATAACAGTGGTATTGCAATTGCAGGTCTGTGCTTATCCTGCTGGCAATTAAGGATCTTCTTCCTTTTTTTTTTTTTTTAGATGAGATGCACCATCACATAACATGGGACTTTAAAGTACTGCCCTTCCCAGCTGCTGATGCAGGCACTGCCGTTTCTACAGCATCGCCTGGGCTGCTTGTATTTTGGGAGCACCAAAGCTGGATAAGCTTGTGCTCATGCTGCTGGAACAGCTGTTCCTTGGGTGATTTACATAATTTCATTTGCTTGGTGGGTTTTACAAATCTGAGATATTCTTCAGTGAAGGAAGATGAAATCAGCATTTTCTGAATTATTTCCAATAATTAATTCTCATCTGAATGTTTGATGGTACAATTACTATGTAGGAGCAAATAATCATAAAACACCATCATGGAGACTAGCTATTTTCGAAGTGCTGGTCTTTTCACATGCCCGGTGCATAAGTGGCATTCTCCCGTGTTAGCAGAGTTTGCAGGCAAGGAATGTAACTTCAGATCTGTGCCTTATGTGCACCAGAAGCACTGAAAAGCTGTGGGATTTTGGAATACTTGCATTTTAAAATCTGCCTCTCAAGTATTTCATTTGGCATTAATTAATTTAATGCAGTTACTGTCACAGTATGATATATGAGTCAAATGTTGTGTGCCCATCAGTGCCTGGTGCTACCACTGGTCTGGGTTGCACCATCTTGATCTGCTTAAGCATGGCAGCAGTGAGCACTGCCTTGGAAACCATGTTATACATTCCCTTGGTAAGTGTCAGGGTAAGAAGATGCCACTGACTTCTTTTATGGCACTGCTGTATGTGAAGTTTGGTCATGTAAATTAGTATTTCTCAGATTTATAACCTGTGGAAGTTTCAGAGCATAAATACACATTTAATAGTGGTCTCTGAAGAAGCCACATGGATCTATGTTCTCAGGAAGGACGGGGTATATTGAACAGGTAAAATTTCCTTTGTTCATAAAATAATCTTCCTTTGTCCTGCTTGAGAAGATGATGATTTTCAAAAGCTAAGTACTTTGTGCTCTTGGGTGCAATTTTATAATTCTTTTTCTAGATCATGATAGAAGAAAAAGAATATAAAAAATTCAAAAATTCAGTTGTCTCACTGATGTATGTTATTCTAATTCCTCAGAGTTACTGTGACATACCTTGCAAATGTAATCAGTGCTACCTGTTGTCTAGATACAGCTGATAAAATTGCAGACTAATGAAAAACAGGACTGATGGAAAAAAATGCAAGGAGTTATTTAATGTGTCACCTGCACCCATGGTATTTCATGGAGAAAGAAACTCTTGCCTAACCTATTCTTGATGAGAGTCATGAGATTCTAAAACTTCTATAGGTACTTTCTCAGCTCAAAAACATTTTCCTGTGGTGACATCTGAACTTTCCATCTCACATTTGACAGAAATTTTATTTTTATATGTAAATACAGGTAAATATATTAATACAAAAATGGATGTAGGTATAGATAATACAGATATGTTGGAGATGTAGATACAGATATAAATATATTGATAATAGATAGATATGGATTTAAGTATAGGTTTGGATATGGATATAGATATGAAAATAGGTGTGAAGAAACAGCCATAAATGTAAATGTTGGTGTAATTTCAATCCCCACCTGCTTACCTCTGGGGGCAATACCACTTTGCCATGTGTTTTGGAAGCCTATAATTGCACTGTACTGATATCGGAGCCTTTCCTCAAGGATGTGTCTTGGATCTCATGCAAGCATTCACTGCTCGTAGAGCTGCATTGTTCAAGAGCGTTGCTTGGAGTCATGTTGCCAGTCTGGCCAAGCTAGTGATGGCTGGAAAAGTGTAGGGCTGAAGGGACAGTCATCTGTGTCATTTCACTGGCAGCAAGTTTTCATCGACATTTCCTGTGTCCTGGCTCTTGGAGCACACAGGTCTGCTGCAGACCTCATGAACTGCTAGCCAGTGTCCTGCCCACTGCCTCCCTGCATCTGCCAAATGGCCTAGTCCCAGCACCATTGCTGAACCCTGTGGAAGCTGTGCTGGCACCAAGTCCCCATCCACCCCAGGTTGTGGGGCCTGGGGCCAATTCAAGCATGGTGTCTCTGGTGGCCACACAGGCTGCAGGGCAGATTGCAGCAATTTCATTTGGGTTTGCCCTTTTGCCTGTGCTCTTGCCCATTTTATAAAGATTTTGGAGAAATTTTGGACTTGTAAACAGGTTTGCTGTGTGGAGCCAGTCTCCCCAGAGCAACCCACAGCCAGCCCGCTGCCTGGTACTCCTTTAAAACCAGGGACTGTGACATTGCTGTCTCTTGAAATGCCATTTTATTAGCCTCCACTTTAGCTGTTGCCTTTTTCTGATTCATTGTTTTTTAATGTACTTGCATACCACTTGCATTACTGCAGCTGCCTACAGTCTGACCATTCCACTGGTGGAAATGACATCTCTGTCCCAGCCACAGAACCATGCTCTGACTAGGAAGATTCCATAGCTGTTCGGCACTCTTTCTTTCCTTTTTATAATGCATACTCAACAGAAAATTTCTTGGCTTTCAGTGACCTCTGCTCAGATGCGAATGACCTTACAACTTTCACTTATTTAGCCAGTTAGCACTCAGAGGAGCAAACAAATGACCCATGCTCATGGGACTGCCCTTAATATTTAATGAAGAGTGGTGGAAAATAAGAGCCACAATGATGTGTTAGCCTCCAATCTCTTTCTTGCATTACAAACCTTGCTTGCACTCAGCTCTTGTATGTATTTTTGCATCTTTTACATGTGGGCTGAGAGAAGGATGTAACAAAGTTGATTACCTTTTCAAGCCGCTTGCTCCTTGTGTGTAGGTTGTGTGCTGTAATAAGGGGGAAAAAGAAAAAAAAAAAAAAACACTGCAAATATAGAAGCTCAGAGGTAATCTTCATTGTGGATCAGTGGGATTCTTAGTGCTCTGTTTCTGCTGTTCCATTAAAGATACTAGAGATAATAAATGGCCGACAAAAATAAACACTGACGTGTCATGGGAGACAATAACTTAGCATAACATGTCTTAGTATGTGTAGTCTATTCTCTAGCTTTGCCAAGCAGCTTCCCACAATTTTCTTTGTATGAGTATTCCATCTAAACAAGCTTACTGTGAGTCTAAGCCCTCTTCATAAGCTGTATTTTTATTTCTTCAGCTTTGTCTAGTTCTTCCCTCTTGGTTCCTCCAAAGAATTAATTTCCCTACCCAGACACTTCTAAATCGTTATCATGTCCGTGACTCCACAGACAATTACTTCTAAGCCAAACCAAACATACTGAAGTTTTGTTCTTTTTCTTTTGTTTTGTTTGTTTGTTTTAATATCCCCTCAGAAATCACTGCTTCCATTTCATTAATTGGTTTATGGCTTCTCTCTTAATTTTTCCCAAGCTTTTACCTTTCTTCACCATTCAGAGAGTCTACAGCATATGTAGAAGCTCCTAAGATCATCAGTTCTCTCTCTCAGAGCCTCTTGAGCTAATAGACTCCTTTCCAATGTTTTTCCTGACGCTCTTGTGCTCCTTGTCAGAAGCATTTAATGACTTTAAACAAGACATTTATTAAGTCTCCTTTTTCCTTGGCTTTACTCATGATGCTCTGAGAGAGTCTTCTGTTTTGGGGTTTGAGATCCGGAAGTTTACGTCAGTAGAGCAAAACAGACTCAGCAGACATGGTAATTTCCACAGAGCACACTCCACTTTGTACAGATCCAAGGGATCCTTCTCCAAGAATAGTAAATGAAGAAACCTTATGAATTAAAAATAGTTAAACCTGTCATTCTGGATAACATCTCACACAGCCAAAGGTTAAAAAGTTAAATACCTGTTTAGAAATAACTGTGATATAGAAGTCATTTAGTAGCATCATAGGCAGGAATGTTTTTTTTCTCACATACACGTGAAGATATGAATGGTATAATCACACTGTAACACTATTGCAGAATGGTATATGTAAGAGCATAAAGTCTTACATGAAGACTTTAATTTGTGTGTGTCTGCATCATGGGAGAAAGAAAGATAAATTTCCATTAAATCCTTCTGAATGGTATTTGCATCACTGGGTCAGAGGGGAATGTGACTGCTGATTTGTTCATTTGTTTGTAAAAGGAGAATGAATGGCATTGCTTCTTCGCATTGTGTAAATATGAATAAAACACACTTGCTAAGTTTTAAATTGCTGCTGTTTGTGCACATGGCCCCAGAAGGCTGCCTTTCACCCTTTGAAACATTCAGAGAGAGCTTTGATAAGGCTCTTTGCACCAGTGTGTTTCAAAGCTTGGCTCCACAAGCACAGAGGCGAGCAATGTGATGGGGAACAAGGTCTGATGTGGCAGCTGGCATAGGATCCACTCCTATCAACACCAGCTGGAAGCTTTCCACCATGTGAGATGCTCCATGGAGAACAGCCAGGCTCTCTCCTCCATCAAGGAGTAAATCCTGAGGCGTGGAGCACCCTTAATGCTTTTTGAAGCCTGTGGTATTGAAGTATTGAACTGCTGCTTAAAGAATCGGACCCTGGGTCAGCGTTGTGGCTAATATCTGTGGAGAAACTTTTCAACCTGGAAACTTTTCTCTGCAGACGTGCCTCAGTACGGAGCTGTGCCTCGAGGACTCTCTGCTCCTGTGCAGTATGGGAAACCTTTGTCCCACACATCGTGTCATCCCCGTGGGGAGTCACCATTGTGCTGCGCACTTCTAAACACAACGGGAGGAGGTTTTTGTGCCGAGCAGTGGGCAGGAACGGCAGGGGGGCACCTTTGTGCTGCACAGCTGGTGACCACAGTGACCGACTTGCTGCTGCGCCAGAGCAAGTGATGGCAGTGGCAGCACACAGGCAGGCAGTGCTCCTTCCCGGTGCCACCAAAGGACAGCTTTCCTGGGTGGGAGCAAAGTGGAGAAACAGCAAGGATGGCTGCATGCCTGTGCTCACTGTGCGCCTGGCCACAACACACAGTCACCTCTGCAGTCATCAGTCCAAACTTCGTATTTCTTTTCACTTTGGCATTTTTTCTACCCATTTAGACCCCTTCTACTTTATTATTTTTATTATTTTTTCTCTGTCTCTTTCTTTTGCTTTATCTCCTATTCAACGTGTCATCTTTTAATTCATCTAGTTAAATAATAAGCAGTCTCATTATTTTCTTAGATCACTCCCTAATGGCCGTGTTTAAAAGACTTGAGCCATAATACCAGTCCCACTGGGACACCATAGATATATTTTCCACCTCGCATCACTATGTATTAGTTACCTTCTTAAGTGCTCTCACCTCTTTCCAAGAGGTGCAACAGCACTTACTCACAAGACCATGAAGCCCTAGTGTGTGATGAGGTGAGGGATGATACTGAGGTGAGATACTGGCCAGAGCCCCACAGGTAGAGCCTGAACCTACATGGGCACCATGGCCACCTGGTTACTGTGGTCACCACAAGAGCAGCACAAGCATCACCAGTGCGCTCATGCTGAGTGCTGTAGGATGCCTGCAGAAGCGCTTGTCCATGGCATGTGTAAGGAGTCACATAGGGCTGGATCTGGCCCCAGAAATCTCAGGCTTGGTGAAGACTCCATGTTGGAGCAAAGAATACTGATGCACAAGAGGCAAGGACAATGGCAGCTTACCAGATAAGGAGGGTCATAGTAACTTGTGACTCCTCAGGTTACTCCCACACAGATTAACCTATGCAGAAATTGATTTATCTTTTGCCCACCAGTTTTTGTTATTCAGTGAGGCGGTTGAAATTGGTTCTTTTTGTTCTTGTTAAATGTGATCCTGTTTTGTTTTCAGGCTTCTGTTACCTTAAAGGTACTTTCAGGGTCGTTGGGGTTTTTTTGTTTGTTTTTTGGGGGGAGGGTTGCTTTTTGTTTTTCAGATGTCTTGCTTTAATAGCATTCAAACATAAATATTATGTGTGTTAATTTCATTTAATCTTTCTTTTCTCAGATTAACATTGTTTTTTTTTCCTCCCCCCATCACAGTCCTTTGGTGCCTACCTGATTGTGCATGAATTCTCAGAAATAATTGCCAGTAGTTCAGCAAGTTCATTAACTGATTCCCTGAAGACCTTCAGATGCATGTCATCCAGACCTGGTGATTTGTATATTAAATTTTAGCGAGTATTCCCTTATCTGAGTTTTTGTATTTACAACTGTATCGTCAAGTCTACATTATTTCTAATTGTCAGTATCTCTTTCTTGCAGTGTATAAATTGATTCTTGTACCTTGTTCACTGTTTTACATTACTCGCTTTACCTCACATATTGCTCGATCCACTTTTGGAGTTCTTCCCTGACCGTGTTCTGCATTTGATAAAACACAAATGTATCTCTCCTTACCTCCTCTTGCACTGGAAGCAGGAGGTCACTTTTCTCTCAAACCCTCTTTCTGTGT